CCGCCACCCCCTTTTACATACACACTCATGCACAAGCACTTTCTTTACTGTGGCTTCCATGCTTCACATAATGTTAATTGCGAGCAACCGGAAATTTGACTCGGCAGCCCAAGTTTTATAGGGTGAATCCAAAACGCGGCTAACAAGAAGAATAATATACGTAGCACCTGCTGTCCAGGGCGGGGTGGTGCAGACGACCAGTCGCTGTGGCCTTTCTCATCATCAGATAGAGTGCGATAATGGCTTCATTGTAGCAGCTAACGACATTCGATCCGAGAGGCATTTTTCATCGGCTTGCAAGGGCCCATCTGCTTCAGGTGTGGGCTGAAGTTGTTCGACGTTTCCATGTGGAGCTTGAATATGTTGAGGATCGCATCGGTTGTGATGTTAACCTAGAAAAAAATCGTCCCTAAAGGCAGTCAGCTGTTGACATTCGTGGTGGTTGGAGGTTCATTTACCTTGTGCAAAATCATAACCGCCCTTCAGAGGGTGACAGAGAAGGTTGTGGTCTTACATGTAAAGTGAAATAAAAGAAAAAATAGGGAGACAAAAATAAATTGCGGACGTTTTTCATAATGATTCATTGTAGCGGCTTTAAGTGATATCGGCGACAGTTGTAATTATTATTCATTGGCGATCAAGTTTCTTTGAAAGATCCGGTCTCGTGTTCTTATCAAAACATCGAATAAGTTCTGATAGACGAGTTTTTCACGCTTGTTGTTTTAACTCGCTGACGTTAGATAGGAAACGAAGTACTCACATTTCTTTATCTACGGAGGCTACAGTGATCATTTGTGAATAACAATATCATATTGTATTGTTTGTTAAGTGACTCGGTTATTTCCGTCCGTAAACAATGTCAGCTGAGACGTTTCGGCGGGATCTGCCGTCGGTGGGCGGTACTGACCAGGACAATATGATGGCTGGACGTGCTGGCAACCGAGAAGTAAGTTTTGGGGAGAAAATAATATGTGTCACGACGCGGTGGAATCAGGCGCTCGTTAATTTTTGGGAATATATAAAAGTATACGTATAATTTTATTTTAAAGCCTGTTCATTTATTTACTTTTTATGACGAAAATATCCATCTGTCCTGCAAAGAAGTCGAGATATTTGTGATTGAAGGAGGTGGGAGTCGCGTGGTGTCAGGGGCAAATGTAGTGAGAAAAAATCTGTGATGACTTCCAGAGCTGTGGTGTCCTTGAAAACTACAAATTTACATTTTCCTGTGTGCATTTTATCAACGTTTGTGAGTAAATCCATGCAGGAATCTGTTTTAAAGTTGACGTAAAAGACGTTGAGCTGAACAAAACAAAAAGTAAACCGAAAAAAATAATAATTACCAAACGGGCGAAAAAGGGTTGATTTGTTCAATTTCATTAAATTGACGCGCGCCTGATTTCACCACCGTGCCTCACATTTAGTGAGAGCAGGGTCCTCACTTTTAAAGACAGCAGGGTCATATTATTCATGGAAAAACTGAAACTGCTCCCGTGTTCGTCATAATTATATATCCTTCAGAGAAGGGCCATTGTTGACAAACTGATCTACTGTTTTTTTAACTCCAGAAAGCATTTTTTCCCCAGGAGAAACAAAACTGTTCCATTATTTTGTGTGTGTGTAGATCTACCCATGTCTTGTTTTTTAAAGTTTTTTTTAATTTAAAAAAACAGCAACAAAATTTTAAGAATTCAGAATTTGAATATGTTTCTTTAGTACATGCAGCTGATATCACAGATGAAAAGACTGTTATTTAGAAAACAACAACAACAACAACAACAACAAAAACAACAACAACGACCCCCCACAGAACGTTGTGATTAATACATTTTATCGGTGGCCGACTATATACTATACTGAGAAACACGTCACTTCATGAACTCACAGTTCACACACACACACACACACACACACAGACACACACAAACA